GGAGTCCACCCTGTCTGCACTGGAGTCCCCTCTGGGCGACCCCCCTGGTGGATGCAGTGGAAGGCCTTCACGTCACGCTTCTGCTTCAGTTTGGAGAGGTCGGAGTCCATCGCACCGAACAGGACCTAAGGGAAAATGGAAGTGCCATGAGAAAGGGTAAGTGAGACAAGGAAGAGGATGGTCATGGCGGTTTGCAGGGAGAAAGGGAAATAGATAACAGGCAAACTAGGATCATCACTACCACTAGCACTACCATAAGCACAAAGATACTACTTGAATTAAAAAGATGTCTCAATTCAATATGAAATCCCAAAATGAACTGATTTACACGCCCCCCCCCCCCAAAAAAAAAAAAAAAAAGGGTTCCATACCTGATAGAACGAGTGGAAGTTTCTTTCTCCTGGCTGCTGGAGGACGACACGGACCTCTCCAGCAGGTAACTCTGTACGTGGCCACCAATGGGGTCATCCTTGAAGTCAAAGTTGATATCCATGTACTTGCCAAAGTGGGAAGAGTTGTCACTGCGGTTGGTCTCGGCATTGCCAAAGGCCTCCAAGATGGCACTGGACTGCAGCAGCGCCTTCTTCATTCTTTGGGGAGGACGGACCACGGGTAAGGCAAGGGAAGAAGACAATGGATTATTATTATCATTATTATTATTATATTAAGCTGTATAATGACCCACACTGAAAAAATCGAGATTTATACCACCAAAGGTGTTACTGCAGGTCAAGATACAGCTAAGAAAGAATGAAAAAAGAAAGCTAATTACGTAAGAAAAACATGTTAGCTGACGTTTTAAATTTATCAAGAGTCGAAGTTATAATCTCTGAAGGCAATCTATTCCAAAGTCTACAAATAGCAGTAAAAAAGCATCTAGAAAACTGACTTGTAGACGATCGATTTACATCAAATGTCTTTGAATTGAGGGTCATAGAACTTCTTGTAATTCTTGCAGATTGATAAAAATCAGCTAAAAAAACTTATAGAGGGGATGTGAATTAACAGTTACAATCTTGTATAAATCTGATAAAGCCCCAATAATTCTACGATGTCCAATGTCCAAATTTAAGTTAGACAGGAGAAATGTAACGGAATTAAAAGAACGATCAAGTAGTCTTAAGTGTGAGTCTGCAGCAGATAACCACACAGAAGAACAATACTCAAAATGAGGCAGAATAAAAGAAAATAAGCACCTACGTGTAATGTTGTCATCTTCATAGATTTTCTTGCACTTGCGAATGATGCCTAACTGATGAAATTGCCCGGGCCATGTTCCTAATATGCAATTCAAATGTAAGCTTTGAATCAAAGGTTACACCTAAGAGCTTCAAGTTATTCACCGAAGTGATTAAGACTCCATTAATCAGCAGACTTGGATGCTGAGGCAACTGCGTTCGAGACCGACTCACAATCATTTCTTTAGACTTATTAGGATTTAATTTCATGCCCCACCGAGAGCACCACGATTGAATCATCATCAGGTCTACAGTGAGACTGTCAGCTACTATTTGCCTCGTTGCCGGAGAAGGAATATCAGCATAGAGAAAAGTATCATCAGCATATGCCAACATTTTATTAGTAATGCCAGACCACATATCGCTTGTATATAAGATAAAGAGCAAAGGGCCAAGAACATTACCCTGAGGAACCCCAGAAGATACATGAGAATACGAGCTAAAACTACCATCAACATGAACACGCCTACCAGTTAAAAATTCAGTTAAAATACTTAAAGCATTACCACCTACACCAAAAGACTGTAACTTGAATATCAAACCCTTGTGATTAACAGTGTCAAAAGCTGCACTAAAATCCAGCGAGATAAGTCTTGACTCATGACCCTAAAACAGACTGCATTTCATGCACCAACATAAGCAATGCATCATTGCAGCCGAGTCCCTTTCTAAATCCAAACTGAGTCTCTGGAAGAAACGGTCTCAAATGTACAGAAAGACGTTTGATCAGCAAACGTTCAAAAACCTTGGATTGAATTGGTGTAATTGAAATGGGCCTATATTCAGTAGGCGAAGACTGTAGTGGGCCCTTGGGAATAGGGGTAACATTACCAAAGCGCCTGCACTCTGGAAATGACCCTTTACGAACTAAAATGCGTAAGATTACGGCTAATTTAGGAGCTAATTGGCCATTTAGTCTTTTAAAATCAAAGGAAACAAGCCATTAGGGTCTACACTCCACCAATATTCATTCGAGTTCAGATAACAGATACTTGATTTCAGAGGACCTGAAAGCAAATGAATTAAAGCATGGCAATGGGTGAAATGAAGGAGGAAGTTCAATATCTTCTAAACTTTGTTTTGAAACTGCTAACAAGGTAGCTTTCTCAAACGGACTATACGTAACACTACCATCAGGTTTCATTAAAGGAGGAATGGAAGACTCAAGACCAAACAGAGATGTTTTTAGTGTTGACCACCATTTATGCGGCTGTGAGGCTTGTGAGAGAACTTTCAAGTGAGCATTGTATTCAGATTTAGCCTCCTTATAAATATTAGTTGCTGTATTTCGCATGGCAACATAATTCTCCTAACAAAGACGAGTACGGTTAGCAGACCAGAGATTGTAGGCAGCATGTTTGTCCCTATAAGCCTGGTGACACCGTCCATTAAACCATGCTTTATCATGTGAACGAGATTTCAGAGTTTTGCTGGGTACAAACTTCGTTATGATGTCCAACAATAACAAATTAAAAGCTTTAACAGGACAAGGAGCATTGTAAACATTTCGCCAAACAATGCTATTAAAAGCATGGTAGACACCATTCCAGTTAATTCTAGATTTTAAGAAGACTTGTCTAGTTAGCGTAAAATCTGGCATAGGGAAGTCCAGCTGGAAGGAAAAGGCGAAGTAACAGGGGGAAAAGGCAAAGGCGTGGAAGTTAAGGAAGGCAAGGGTAAGGAAGGGAAGTGGAAAAGGTGGGGAATGAAACTGAGGAAGTGTAGGAAAAGGAGTTGGAAAGAAAGGGAAAAAGGAAAGTGAGAGCTTCAGTGCCATCCATTCCCCTTATTTGTCCATTTATTCCCAATGTCTGTCTGTTCATCCCTGTGCCCCTCCAGGTTTTTCATTATCTTATCTGTCTTCTTATTCCTTTGTTCAGCGGTTCATTTGCTGGCGACCAGTCATTCCCTCACTTGTCCTTAAATCACATTAAAAGTTCATATATTATCCCACCTATTTACCTACCTATCTACCTACTTACAAGGGTTCAGTTCTGTATATTACATGTGTGATTGTACTTGTGCATGCACCTATGTGTACTTTCATACCCATGCATCCATCAATAATAATGATTATAATAGGAACAATAATAATATAAAATGATCATTGTAACTTTGATCAATCATGTAAAAATAAGAAAACTAATAATAAAAACAGTACTAAGAATATCATAATGATAATAATGATGTTGCTAAAAAATACTAACAATAATAATAATAGCAGTGATTATTACAATAAAAACAATATCTATAATAATAACTATAACAATGATAATAACAATAATAATAATGATATCAATATTATTATCATTATCATAACAAAACTTCTTAAATGAAATAACCCTAGACATTACAAAAGTCCTTTATATCTGCTGCTTCATCCTTTCCATTCTACCATCTACCTCCCTAATCTTCTGGCAGAAAACCTACTTCCCTTATGTGTATATCTTATACCATTTTCCGTCCCTCTCTCACAAAACTACGGCTATACAGATACAAGACATTTTCAGGTATATAACAGCTAGTATAACTGTTCGGGTTGGTGTGTACATTTCTATCTCTGCAGGTGAACAGAAGAATGCTATTCAAGGGACATGTTCTCTGCTAGGGGTTCGTGGTGGTGGAGGTGGTGGTGGAGGTGGTGGTGGTGATGGTGATGGTGGTGATGGTGATGGTGATAGTGCTGGAGGTGATGGTGATGGTGCTGGAGGTGGTGATGGTGATGGTGCTGGAGGTGGAGGTGGTGATGGTGCTGGTGGTTGTGCTGCTGGTGGTGCTGGTGCTGGTGGTTATGGTGGAGGTGGTGGTGATGGTGGAGTTGGTGGTGGTGATGGAGGTGATGGTGCTGGTGGTTGAGGTGGTGATGGCGGTGGAGGTGGTGGTGGTGCTGTTGCTTGTGGTGGAGGTGGTGGTGCTGGTGATGATGGTGGTAGTGGTGGAGGTGGTGGTGCTGGTGGTGGAGGTGGTGGTGCTGGTGGTGGAGGTTGTGGTGGTGGAGATGGTGGTGCTGGTGGTGCTGGTGATGATGGTGGTGCTGTTACTGGAGGTGGAGGTGGTGCTGGTGCAGGTGATGATGGTGGTGGTGCTGTTACTGGAGGTGGAGGTGGTAGTGAGGCTGCTGGTGCTGGTGATGATGGTGGAGGTGGTGGTGCTGGTACTGGTGGTAGAGGTGGTGATGGTGCTGGTGATAGAGGTGGTGATGATGGTGGTAATGGTACTGCTGCTGGTGGTGGAGGTGGTGGTTGTGGTGGTGTTGGTGATGATGGTGAAGTTGGTGGTTGTGGTGGGGTGGTGGTGGTGATGACGGTGCTAGCGATGGTGCTGGTGGTGGAGGTAGCGTTGGTGATGACGGTGGTGTTGCTGGTGGTGGAGGTTGTGGTGGTGATGGTGCAAGTGGTGGTGGTGGTAATGGTGGTGATAGTGCAGGTGGTGGTGATGGCGCTGGTGGTGATGGTGTAGGTGGTAGTGGTAGTAATGTTGCTGGTGGTGATGGTGGTGGTAGTGGTGGTAATGGTGGTGGTGGAGGTGCAGGTGGAGGTGGTTGTGGTGATGGTGCTGGCGGTGGAGGTGGTGATAGTGCTGGTGGTGGAGGTTGTGGTGCTGTTGCTTGTGATGGAAGTGGTAGTGGTAGAGGTAGTGGTGGTGATGGTGGTGACGCTGGCGGTGGTGGTGGTGGCGCTGGCGGTGGTGGTGGAGGTGGCGGTGGTGCTGTTGGTGGAGGTGGTGGTGATGGTTCTGGTGGTGGAGGTGGTGGTGGTTGTGATGGTGGAGGTTGTGGTGCTATTGCTGGTGATAGAGGTGGTGGTGATGGTGGTGGTCGTGGTCCTGTTGGTGACGCTGGCGCTGGCGGTGGTGCTGCTGTTGGTGGCGGAGGTGGTGGTTATGGTGGTGGAGGTGGCGCTGGTGCTGTTTGTGGAGGTGGTGGTGGTGATGGTGCTGTTGCTGGTGGTAGTGGTAATGGTGCTGATGGTGGAGGTGCCGGTGGTGGTGGTGGCAGTGGTGGTGGAAGTGGTTGTGATGGTGGTGGAGGTGGTGGTGGTGGTGCAGGTGGTGATGGCGGTGGTGGTGGTGCTGGTGGTGGAGGTGGTGGTGCTGGTGTAGAGGTGGTGGTGGCGGTAGTGGTGCTGGTGGTGGCAGTGGTGGTAATGGTGCTGGAGGTGGTGGTGATGGTGCTGGCATTGGTGGTAATGGTGCTGGTGGTGGAGGTGGTGGTGATGATGCTGGTGGTGGAGGTGGTGCTGGTGTTGGTGATGGTGGTGACGCTGGCGGTGGTGGTGGCGCTGGCGGTGGTGGTGGTGGTGGAGGTGGCGGTGGTGCTGTTGGTGATGGTTCTGGTGGTGGAGGTGGTGGTGGTTGTGATGGTGGAGGTTGTGGTGCTATTGCTGGTGGTGGAGGTGGTGCTGGTGTTGGTGATGGTGGTGACGCTGGCGGTGGTGGTGGTGTGGTGGCGGTGGCGGTGGTGGTGGTGGTAGAGGTGGCGGTGGTGCTGTTGGTGGAGGTGGTGGTGATGGTTCTAGTGGTGGAGGTGGTGGTGGTTGTGATGGTGGAGGTTGTGGTGCTATTGCTGGTGATGGAGGTGGTGGTGGTAGTGATGGTGGTGGTCGTGGTCCTGTTGGTGACGCTGGGCTGGCGGTGGTGCTGCTGTTGGTGGCGGAGGTGGTGGTTATGGTGGTGGAGGTGGCGCTGGTGCTGTTTGTGGAGGTGGTGGTGGTGATGGTGCTGTTGCTGGTGGTAGTGGTAATGGTGCTGGTGGTGGAGGTGCCGGTGGTGGTGGTGGCAGTGGTGGTGGAAGTGGTTGTGATGGTGGTGGAGGTGGTGGTGGTGGTGCAGGTGGTGATGGCGGTGGTGGTGGTGCTGGTGGTGGAGGTGGTGGTGGTTGTGAATGGTGGAGGTTTGTGGTGCTATTGCTGGTGGTGGAGGTGGTGCTGGTGTTGGTGATGGTGGTGACGCTGGCGGTGGTGGTGGTGGTGGTGGCGGTGGTGGTGGTGGTGGAGGTGACGGTGGTGCTGTTGGTGGAGGTGGTGGTGATGGTTCTAGTGGTGGAGGTGGTGGTGGTTGTGATGGTGGAGGTTGTGGTGCTATTGCTGGTGATGGAGGTGGTGGTGGTAGTGATGGTGGTGGTCGTGGTCCTGTTGGTGACGCTTGGCGCTGGCGGGTGCTGCTGTTGGTGGCGCGAGGTGGTGGTTATGGTGGTGGAGGTGGCGCTGGTGCTGTTTGTGGAGGTGGTGGTGGTGATGGTGCTGTTGCTGGTGGTAGTGGTAATGGTGCTGGTGGTGGAGGTGCCGGTGGTGGTGGGTGGCAGTGGTGGTGGAAGTGGTTGTGATGGTGGTGGAGGTGGTGGTGGTGCAGGTGGTGATGGCGGTGGTGGTGGTGCTGGTGGTGGAGGTGGTGGTGCTGGTGGTAGAGGTGGTGGTGGCGGTAGTGGTGCTGGTGGTGGCAGTGGTGGTAATGGTGCTGGAGGTGGTGGTGATGGTGATGGCATTGGTGGTAATGGTGCTGGTGGTGGAGGTGGTGGTGATGTGCTGGTGGTGGAGGTGGTGCTGGTGTTGGTGATGGTGGTGACGCTGGCGGTGGTGGTGGTGGTGGAGGTGGGCGGTGGTGCTGTTGGTGATGGTTCTGGTGGTGGAGGTGGTGGTGGTTGTGATGGTGGAGGTTGTGGTGCTATTGTGGTGGTGGAGGTGGTGCTGTTGTTGGTGATGGTGGTGAGCTGGTGGTGGTGGTGGTGTGGTGGTGGCGGTGGTGGTGGAGGTGGCGGTGGTGCTGTTGGTGGAGGTGGTGGTGTTGGTGATGATGGTGAAGTCGGTGGTTGTGGTGGTGTTGGTGGTGGAGGTGGTGGTGGTGATGACGGTGCTAGCGATGGTGCTGGTGGTGGAGGTAGCGTTGGTGATGACGGTGGTGTTGCTGGTGGTGGAGTTGTGGTTGATGGAGGTGGTGGTGATGGTGCAAGTGGTGGTGTGGTAATGGTGGTGATAGTGCAGGTGGTGGTGATGGCGCTGGTGGTGATGGTGTAGGTGGTAGTGGTAGTAATGTTGCTGGTGTGATGGTGGTGGTGGAGGTAGTGGTGGTAATGGTGGTGGTGAGGTGCAGGTGGAGGTGGTTGTGGTGATGGTGCTGGCGGTGGAGGTGGTGATAGTGCTGGTGGTGGAGGTTGTGGTGCTGTTGCTTGTGATGGAAGTGGTAGTGGTAGAGGTAGTGGTGGTGATGGTGGTGACGCTGGCGGTGGTGGTGGTGGCGCTGGCGGTGGTGGTGGAGGTGGCGGTGGTGCTGTTGTGGAGGTGGTGGTGATGGTTCTGGTGGTGGAGGTGGTGGTGGTTGTGATGGTGGAGGTTGTGGTGCTATTGCTGGTGATAGAGGTGGTGGTGTGGTGATGGTGGTGGTCGTGGTCCTGTTGGTGACGCTGGCTGGCGGTGGTGCTGCTGTTGGTGGCGGAGGTGGTGGTTATGGTGGTGGAGGTGGTGGTGGTGATGGTGCTGTTGCTGGTGGTAGTGGTAATGGTGCTGGTGGTGGAGGTGCCGGTGGTGGTGGTGGCAGTGGTGGTGGAAGTGGTTGTGATGGTGGTGGAGGTGGTGGTGGTGGTGCAGGTGGTGATGGCGTGGTGGGTGGTGCGGTGGTGGAGGTGGTGGTGCTGGTGGTGAGAGGTGGTGGTGGCGCGTAGTGGTGCTGGTGGTGGCAGTGGTGGTAATGGTGCTGGAGGTGGTGGTGATGGTGCTGGCATTGGTGGTAATGGTGCTGGTGGTGGAGGTGGTGATGATGGTGCTGGGGTGTGGAGGTGGTGCTGGTGTTGGTGATGGTGGTGACGCTGGCGGTGGTGGGTGGCGCTGGCGGTGGTGGTGGTGTGTGGAGGTGGCGGTGGTGCTTGTTGGTGATGGTTCTGGTGGTGGAGGTGGTGGTGGTTGTGATGGTGGAGGTTGTGGTGCTATTGCTGGTGGTGGAGGTGGTGCTTGGTGTTGGTGATGGTGGTGACGCTGGCGGTGGTGGTGGTGGTGGTGGCGGTGGTGGTGGTGGGGAGGTGACGGTGGTGCTGTTGGTGGGGTGGTGGTGATGGTTCTAGTGGTGGAGGTGGTGGTGGTTGTGATGGTGGAGGTTGTGGTGCTATTGCTGGTGATGGAGGTGGTGGTGGTAGTGATGGTGGTGGTCGTGGTCCTGTTGGTGACGCTGGCGCTGGCGGTGGTGCTGCTGTTGGTGGCGGAGGTGGTGGTTATGGTGGTGGAGGTGGCGCTGGTGCTGTTTGTGGAGGTGGGTGGTGTGATGGTGCTGTTGCTGGTGGTAGTGGTAATGGTGCTGGTGGTGGAGGTGCCGGTGGTGGTGGTGGCAGTGGTGGTGGAAGTGGTTGTGATGGTGGTGGAGGTGGTGGTGGTGGTGCAGGTGGTGATGGCGGTGGTGGTGGTGCTGGTGGTGGAGGTGGGTGGTGCTGGTGGTAGAGGTGGTGGTGGCGGTAGTGGTTGCTGGTGGTGGCAGTGGTGGTAATGGTGCTGGAGGTGGTGGTGATGGTGCTGCATTGGTGGTAATGGTCTGGTGGTGGAGGTGGTGGTGATGGTGCTGGTGGTGGAGGTGGTGCTGGTGTTGGTGATGGTGGTGACGCTGGCGGTGGTGGTGGCGCTGGCGGTGGTGGTGGAGGTGGCGGTGGTGCTGTTGGTGATGGTTCTGGTGGTGGAGGTGGTGGTGGTTGTGATGGTGGAGGTTGTGGTGCTATTGTGTGGTGGAGGTGGTGCTGGTGTTGGTGATGGTGGTGACGCTGGTGGTGGTGGTGGTGGTGGTGGTGGGCGTGGTGGTGGAGGTGGCGGTGGTGCTGTTGGTGAGAGGTGGTGGTGATGGTTCTGGTGGTGGAGGTGGTGGTGCTTGTGATGGTGGAGGTTGTGGTGCTATTGCTGGTGATGGAGGTGGTGGTGGTGGTGATGGTGGTGGTCGTGGTCCTGTTGGTGACGCTGGCGCTGGCGGTGATGCTGCTGTTGGCGGGAGGTGGTGGTTATGGTGGTGGAGGTGGCGCTGGTGCTGTTTGTGGAGGTGGTGGTGGTGATGGTGCTGGTGGTAGTGACGGTGATGATGGTGCTGTTGCTGGTGGTGGTGGTAATGGTGCTGGTGGTGGAGGTGCCGGTGGTGTGGTGGTGCTGGTGGTGGAGGTGGTGGTGCTGGTGATAGAGGTGGTGGTGGCGGTAGTGGTGCTGGTGGTGGCAGTGGTGGTAATGGTGCTGGAGGTGGTGGTGATGGTGCTGGCATTGGTGGTAATGGTGCTGGTGGTGGAGGTGGTGTTGGTGGAAGTGCAGGTAGTGGTAGTGGTGATGGTGCTGCTGGTGATGGTAGAGGTGGTGGAGGTGCCGGTGCTGGTGGTGGTGAAGGTGGTGGTGATAGTGCTGGTGGTGGAGGTGGTGGTACTGGTGGAGGTGCCGGTGCTGGTGGTGGTGAAGGTGGTGGAGGTGGTGGTTTTGGTGGTGCTGTTCCTTGTGGTGGAGGTGGTGGTTGTGGTGGTGCTAGTGATGGTGCTGGTGCTGGAGGTGGAGGTGGTGGCGATGGTGTTGGTGGTGGAGGTGGTGTTGGTGATTATGGTGCTGGTGCTGGATGTGGTGGTGATGGTGGTGGTGGTGCTGGTGCTGGAGGTTGTGGTGGTGCTGGTGCTGGTGGTGATAATGATGATGATGGTGCTGGTGATGATGGTGGAAGTGGTGGAGGTGGTGTTGCTGCTACAGGTGGTGGAGGTTGTGGTAGAGGTGGTGATGGTGATGGTGGTGGTTGTGGTGGTGTTAGTGATGATGGTGAAGTTGGTGGTTGTGGTGTGATGGTGTTGGTGTGGGACGATGCTGGTGGTGGAGGTGCTGGCGATGGAGCTGGTGGTGTTGGTGATGGTGATGGAGGTGTAGGTGGTGACGGTGGTGGTGATGGTTGTAATGGTGTTGGTGGTGATGGTGGAGGTAGTGGTGGTGATGGCGCTGGTGGTGGTGGTGGTAATGGTGCTGGTGGTGGTGTTGGTGATGGTGGTGGAGGTGTTTGTGGTGATGGTGGTGGTGGAACTGTTGGTGATGGAGGTTGTAGCGCTGTTGCTGGTGATGGAGGTGGTGGTGGTGGTGGTGGAGGTGGTGGTGATGGGGCTGGTGGTGATGGTGGAGGTGGTGGTGATTGTGATAGTGGTGGTGATGGTGGAAGTGGTGGTGATGGAGGTTGTGGTGCTATTGCTGGTGATGGAGGTGGTGGTGGTGGTGATGATGGTGGTGGTCGTGGTGCTGTTGGTGGCGCTGGCGCTGGCGGTGGTGCTGCCGTTGGTGGCGGAGGTGGTGGTTATGGTGGTGGAGGTGGCGCTGGTGCTGTTTGTGGAGTTGGTGGTGGTGATGGTGCTGGTGGTAGTGGCGGCGATGATGGTGGTGGTAATGGTGCTGGTGGTGGAGGTGCCGTTGGTGGTGGTGGCAGTGGTAGTGGAAGTGGTTGTGATGGTGGTGCTGGTGGTGATGGCTGTGGAGGTGTTGGTGCAGGTGGTGTTGGCGGTGATGGTGATATTGGTGGAGGTGGAGGTGATGGTGGTGGACGTGGTGATAGTGCTGGTGGTGGTGACGGTGCTGGCAGTGGTGATGGTGATAGAGGTGGTGGTGGCGGTAATGGTGGTGGTGTGGCAGTGGTGGTAATGGTGCTGGTGGTGAAGGTGGTGGTGGTAGTGGTGGTAATGGTGCTGGTAGTGGTAATGGTGCTGGTGGTGAAGGTGGTGGCATTGGTGGTAATGGTTGTGGTGGTGGAGGTGGTGGTAATGGTGCTGGTGGTGGAGGTGGTGGTATGGTGCTGGTGGTGGAGGTGGTGGAAGTGGTTGTGGTGCAGGTGGTGGTGACGGTGCTGGCAGTGGTGATGGTGGTAGAGGCGGTGGTGGCAGTAATGGTACTGGTGGTGAAGGTGGCAGTGGTGGTAATGGTGAAGGTGGTGGCATTGGTGGTAATGGTTGTGGTGGTGGAGGTGGTGGTAATGGTGCTGGTGGTGGAGGTGGTGGTGATGGTGCTGGTGGTGAAGTGGTTGTGGTGCAGGTGGTGGTGTTTATGGTGGTGGTGCTGGTGGTGGAGGTGGTGGTGGCAGTGTTTTAATGGTGGTGGAGGTGGTGTTGGCGGTGGTGGTGGTGCTGGTGCTGGTAGTGGAGGTGGTGTTGAAGGTGCTGGTGGTGGCAGTGTTTTAATGGTGGTGGTGCTGGTGCTGGTGCTGGTTGTGGTGGGGGAACGGTGCTGGTGGTGGAGGTGGTGGTGCTGTTGGTGGCAGTGGTGGTAATGGTGCTGGTGGTGGCAGTGGTGGTAATGGTGCTGGAGCTGGTGGTGGCAGTGTTGGTACTGGTGCGGGTGGTGTAGGTGATGGTGTTGGTCGTGGCAGTGGTGGTAATGGTGCTGGTGTTGGAGGTGGTGCTGGAAGTGGTTGTGATAGTGGTGGAGGTGGTGGTGGTGCTGGTGGTGGAAGTGGTGCTGGTAGTGGTGGCGCTGGTGGTGGAGGTGGTGGTGATGGTGAAGGTGGTGGTAATAGTGCTGGTGTTAGAGGTGGTGGTGACGGTGGTGGTAATGATGCTGGTGGTAGCAGTGGTGGTAATGGCGCTGGTGGTGGCAGTGGTGGTAATGGTGGTGGTGGTGCTGGTGCTGGTGATGGTAGAGGTGGTCGTGTTGGTGGTGGTTGTGGCGATGGTGATGGTGCTGGTGGAGGTGGTGGTGACGGTGCTGGTGGTGACAGTGTTTTAATGGTGGTGCAGGTGGTAATGGCGGTGGTGATGGTGCTGATGGTGGAGGTGGTGCTGGTGGTGGTGATATTGTTGGTGGTGACGGTGGTGGAAGAGGTGGGGGTGGTGGTGTTGGTGCTGGTGGTGGTGGAGGTGATGGTGGTGGTAAAGGTGGTGGTGATGGTGGTGATGGTAGAGGTGATGGTGGTAATGTGGTGGCAGTGGTGGTAATGGTGCTGGTGGTGGCAGTGGTGCTGGTAGTGGAGGTGATTGTGCTGATGATGGTGGTGCTTGTGGTAACAGTGGTGGTAATGGTACTGGTGGTGGTGGTGATGGTGCGTGTGGTGGAGGTGTTCGTGGTGGTGCTGGTGTTGGAGGTGGTGGTGGCAGTGGTGGTGATGGTGCTGGTGGTGGAGGTGGTGGTAATGGTGCTGGTGGTGGTGGTGACGGTGCTCGTGGTGGAGGTGGTGGTGGTAGTGGTAGATGTGGAGGTGGTAGAGGTGGTGGTGGCGGCGGTGGTGGTGATGGTGCTGGAGGTGGTGGTGCTGGTTGTAGTGGCGGTAATGGTGCTGGTGGTAGTGGCAGTGTTGGTAATGGTGGTGGAAGTGGTGGTGATAGTGTTGGTGATGATGATGGTGGTGGCAGTGGTGGTGATGTGTGGTGGTGGTAATGGTGGTGGTGGTTAGTGGTGCTGGTGCTGGTGGTGAAGGTGGTGGTGACGGTGATGGTGTTGGTGATGGCAGAGGTGATAATAGTGCTGGTGGTGGTGATAGTGTTGGTGATGATGATGGTGGCAGTGGTGGTTTAGGTGCTGGTGGTGGAGGTAGTGGTGCTAGTGGTGGTAGTGGAGGTGGTTGTGGTGATGGTGCAGGTGGTGGTGGCGGTGATGGTGCAGGTAGTGGTGGCGGTGATGGTGGTGGTGATGGCGCTGGTGGTGGAGGTGTTGGTGATGGTGCTTGTGATGCTAGAGGTGGTTGTGGTGGTGGAGGTGCCGGGCGTGTGTTGAAGGTGGTGGTGGTGGTGCTAGTAGTGGTGGTGGTGATAGTGCTGGTGGTGGTGGTGGTGACGGTGCTGGTGGTGGTGATGTTGCTGGTGCTGGTGGTGGAGGTGGTGCTAGTGGTGAAGGTGGTTGTGGTGATGGTGCAGGTGGTGGTGGCGGTGCTGGTGGTGGTGATTGTGCTGGTGATGGTAGAGGTGCTTGTGGCTGTGGTTGTGCTGGTGGTAATGGTGCTGGTGGTGGAGGTGCCGGTGCTGGTGGTGAAGGTGGTGGTGATGGTACTGGTGGATGGGAGGTGGTGTAGTGATGGTGGTGGAGGTGGTGGTGACGGTGCTGGTGTTGGCAGTGTTTTAATGGTGGAGGTGGTGGTGGTGGAGGTGTTGGGGTAGTGGTGGTGGTTGCAGTGGTGGTAATGGTGCTGGTGGTGGATGTGGTGGTGCTGGCGGTGGCAGTGGTGGTAATGGTACTGGTGGTAGAGGTGGTGGTGATAGTGGTGGCAGTGGTGGTAATGGTGCTGGTGGTGGAGGTGGTGGTGATGATGCTGTGGTGGCAGTGGTGGTAATGGTGCTGGTGGTGGAGGTAGTGGTGCTGGTGGTGGAAGTAGTTGTGGTGGTGGTAATGGTGCTGGTGGTGGAGGTGGTGGTGATGGTGCCGGTAGAGGTGGTCGTGGTGGTGGTAATGGTGCTGGTGGTGGAGGTGGTGGTTGTGGTGGTGGTGATGGTGGTGATAGTGCTGGTAGGTGAGGTGCTGGTGACGATGCTGGTGGTGGCAGTGTTTTAATGGTGGTGGTCTTGGTGGTGGTAATGGTGCTGATGGTGGAGGTGCTGGTACTGGTTGTGGTGGTGATGGTGCGTGTGGTGGAGGTGGTGGTAATGGTGGAGGTGGTGGTGATGGTGGTGGTGTGGTGGTGACGGTGTTGTGGTGGAAGTGGTGGTGGTAGTGGTGGTGGTAATGGTGATGGTGGTGGAGGTGGTGCTGGTTAAGGTGGTGATGGTGCGTGTGGTGGAGGTGGTCGTGGTGTTACTGGTGTTGGAGGTGGTGGTGATGGTGGTGGAGGTAGTGGTGCTGGTGGTGGCAGTGGTGGTGCTGGTGCTGGTGGTGGAGGTGGTGGTAATGGTGCTGGTGGTGGAGGTGGTGGTGATGGTGACGGTGTTCGTGGTGGAAGTGGTGGTGGTAGTGGTAGAGGTGGTGATGGTGCTGGAGGTGGAGGTGCTGGTGCTGGTGGTCGCAATGGTGGTAATGGTGCTGGTGGTGGCAGTATTGGTAATGGTGGTGGTGGTGGTTGAAGTGGTTGTGATGGTGGTGTAGGTGGTGGTGCTAGTGGTGGAAGTGGTGATGGTGGTGGTGGTGATGGTTGTGGAGGAGGGATGTGTGTATGCGTGTGTGTGTGTCTGTGCGTGTGTTTGTCTTTGTGTCTATGTGTCTTTGTGTGTATGTGTGTGTGTGTGTACATATATCCCCCATATAAATATATATAAATATATATATATATATATATATATATATATATATATATATATATATATATATATATATATATATAACACATATATATGCATATGTATGCGTGTGTGTGTGTGTACATATTTTCTTATTTTATGTATTCACGTATGTACATGTACTTACGTGGATATTGGTAAATGGCGGATAGTAATAGTAATAATGATTCAGATAATATAAAAATATTTCTACTGCTACAACTAATGATGATAATAATAATAATAATAACAATAATAATGACAATAATGATAATGAAAATTAAGATAACAAAAATGATAATAATGATAGTAAAACCAGTATTAATAATAAGAATAGGAATCATTATGAAGTAAGAACCTCACCATTAACAATGATAATAAAAATGATGTTAATAATGATAATGAGGATAACAGTAATTATAGTAATAATAACACTGATGATAAAAGATGTGTCAATGATTATATCAATGATAATGGAGACACAATCTCTTTTTGATATGAAATTGGTAAAAAAAAATTACTTGTATTAGAGAGAGAGAGAGAGAGAGAGCAGAGAAGAGAGAGAGAGAGAGAGAGAGAGAGAGAGAGAGAGAGGAGAGAGAGAGAGAGAGAGAGAGAGAGAGACATTCAGACAGACAGACACTGAGACACACGCACACACACACACACCAAGCAGCCAAAAACAGACACTACACGACAGACGCCTCCCACGGGCTTGCCAAGTCTAGTACAAGTCCTGTTGTCTTTGTAGCCATCCAGAGCCATCTCAAGCCAACGCGCTGCTCCTCCTGCAACGGCCCTTGCAACTGACGAGAACATCAAACTCACCTGCGGTTTTATGGCCCTTATGGCAGGGTGTTCAGCTAACGGGAAGAGGGGCTTATAGAAAATGCTCCGTAATACGCTGTGTAAAAGATGTAGCCAGGTGTGTGTGTGTGTATGCAATGTCGGTATAAAAATAGATGTTTCTCTTTGTACAAGGATATTTGATCAAAGGTAAGTATGCATTACTTTTTAAAAATGGTGCCTAGATGAGCAATCCCCGATAAAGTAAATTACAGTAGGCCGACGGAGAGGTGGCCGAAGATAGCAAGTTATTTAGTTCGATCTTTAACCGCATATTTGTGGGCAGATGAGAAAGACGATTGCGGGAGATCGAGAAGTAAAGTTTGGTTGAATTTATACCCTCAAGCAAGTTTTTTTTGACATCTTACAATGTTTTTCTGTTCTTATAACAGACAAAAATAATTTTGACAGTGAGCACGCTCCTGATACCTCCTAGCTTAGGTTAGGGTTAGGGTTGGGTTAGTTTAGGTCAGGATAGGTTTAGTTTAGGTTAGGTTAGGTTTAAGTTAGGTTAGTTAGATTATTTAGGTTAGGTTAGGTAAGGTGGTTTAGGTTAGGTTAGGTTTAGGCTAGGTTGGTTAGGTTGAGGTTAGGTTAGGTAATTATGAGAGTAATTAGGACAATAATTGTGATAATAATTATACAATGATAATTATAATGATGATTTGCCTAATAATTGCAATAATAGCAATAATCAACACTATTCTAATGATTTTCCTAATTAATAACGACAATGATAACAGAAATAATAATAAAAGTAATTATTACTGCTCTACTTGAGGACCACCTGGACTCTGAGTTGGTATTTGTGTGCATTCCATTGCCGCAATAAAAGCCAGAAAAAAGAAAAGAAAATGCTTATATAGGAATGATATTGACATTTTCACATGCGCATTCATCCTGTATCTAGAATGATTTTGACATCTTCACATGTGCATTCATCATATATGTACAGGGACTCAATATCAGTATAAAATTATACGAAAATGTACGTCATTAAATAAATATTCAGTGACAGTTACAGATGGCAATACATAACATTGTGCACTAAGGGGAGAAAAAATCCTTTAATAAACTTTCAGTATTGTCCTATTGGCATGAATGGTATTCCTCAATTATTTACCTTGACGTTATATAGCCGTGTAGAATGAATATATATTTTTGGCACATGGCAGGAATTTATATATATACTTACATATATATAATATAATATAATGAATAGAATAGAATAGAATATATATAATGTATATATATATATATTATATATAATATATATATATATATTATATTATATATATATATATAATATATGATATATATATAATTATAATATATATAATATTATATATTATATATATATATATATATATATATATATATATATATATATATAATATATGTTTAATATAAGTATAATGTATATAGATAGATTTATATAGATAGATAGATAGATAATATATATATATTACCCTATGTTATATTACCTTACCTAACATAACCTAAGCTTAATTATTAACCTCGAGAGAAGACGATAATGTTATCTCTGTAATAGCCTCACTTCATACTGCAAGAAAGGAATTAAAAATTAACCATTTTACAATACCTGATATAAAATAGTGAACTGCAGAGCTACAAGGAAATCATTAGCAACGCCTCATTGTAGAGTGGTGTAGCATGACAGATGCTTCTATAGCCCGTAGTAAACATGCCATCATCAAAACACTTATGGTAACACTTGTGAAAAGAAAATTATCCCTACAATCAAAATAACAACTTAAATCAAAATTACTCGCCTGGGGGCAGCAGGAATACAGCTAATGTTTTGAGCTCTCGACTGGAACATTGATGGTCTTGAAGTTATCTTATAATGAATTGTGATTTTCATAGATTTTAAAATTGCAATGTGATTCCTATATCATGTTATACACAAATGTGTTACTAATTTGTAACACATGAAAGCAAGAAAATGTCATTCAATCACGGGAAAAGTACTGATACACAAAGGGTTATTTTTCATTAAATGTACAAGCATTGCGTGGCTCAGACTTGATTTTTTATATTATAGTTTGTTGGTGGTTAAGGTCAGTGAAATGATAGTAGAATATTCAGAAATAGTGTCTTGTATGCTCTAATGCAGGCAGATTATGATGGCCATCTGCTTGGGGAATCTGCATAACCAATTTGCAAATTTTTAATGACTCCAGTTCTCAATCCCTGATTGCAAAATGAAATAAGGTATAATTTGGCTCATTCAAGAACCCGCAATCCCATTGAACGAGCATTTGGAGTCCTCAAATAAAAGATTCCGTTGTCTCGCTATACCTATGCGGACTAGTTTGGACATAACCATGGCCACAATTTGTAGTGGTTTGGAAAACCATGATGGTGATAAAGATGGTGGTGGTAATGGCAATGAATGTGATCAGGAAGTAGTAGTTAATGAAAATGCACAAATACGAATGCTGGGCAGAAAAAGAGGGCAAATATAATCAACAGTGTGTTCTGAAATGTATTTGGGATCTCCTGTTAGGAGTTTCATTCTCTTGCCTGGCAGCTCCTCCATTCTCAGTATCCTTCCAGCACACCCTGTATCCCTCCTCGGTACATGTTCTAAAGCAATTCAATATTCCGTCTCTCACTATTCCAAAGTCTCTCAAGTGCTTTTCCTCTGACATGTCATCTCCATCAAAACTACCATTTGTAGCATCATTTTAATTCAAGATTATTTAAAGATTATATTGAAACAAATGTATTATGTCAATGAAAAACTTTTTTTCTAGTTTATCTTTTGTTAGCCAACTGTCATGGTCGGTAAATGTATTTTAAAAAAAGAAGCCTAATGTTTAATGTCACACATAATGTGTAGTTATGACATTGTTGTATATTGTACATCAAGTTTAGTAGTAGGAGAAGGCCGTGTGGAAAGCAGAGGGATAAAGTACAGGAATAAATAATTAAACAATCTCACTAGAGGTTTTTCCACTGACATGTCATCTCCAACAAAGTTACCATTTGTAACATCATTCTATTTGAAGACTATTCAAAGATTATATTGAAACTAATGTAAAACGTCAAACAAAAACAATGTTTTTTTCTAGTTTATTATTTTTTGTTAGCCAAATGTAATGGTCGATTAATATATATATATTTTTTATGAAACATAATGTTTGATATCACACATTGTGTGGTTATGACTACATTATTATATAGTAATGTATATGCTTGCACATTGAGTTTAGTAGTTGGGAAAACTATGTGGAAGGTGTAAGGAAAAGGTACAGGAATAAATAACTGAAAGAGACATTACTGGAAGCAAGGAAGATGAAGATATGACATCTCTTTTTGATGTTTCTCAAGTGCAAGCCTCATTTTTAGTTTTAGTTTTTAGTTCTTGCTTGCATAATAAGATGTCATGAGCTACTTCGCATGTTCTAACAATTCTAACATTTTCTGATGCAGCTCTGGGTCCATTTCTCTAAGATGGTTTCTTTCTGAAGCCAACTTCAGAGCTTCCTGTTTCTTACTTTTTTCTTAATCCTGTTTGTGGAGGACATCATCATGGGGCACGTGCAGGGAGCCATCATCTAGCAATAATAATAATAATAATGATAATAATAATAATAATAATAATAATAATAATAATAATAATAATAATAATAAAAACAATAAATATATAAAATAATAATAATAATAATAATAACAATAAATATATAAAATAATAATAATAATAATAATAATAATAACAATAAATATATAAAATAATAATAATAAAAAATCATTCAGTGTTAGTACACACACACACGCAATACTGTTCAGTATCTTTTTTAATGACACACCTGGAAGAGGCAGTTGTACAAAATAAATTCACAAAGTCTATATAATACGAAAAAAGTGTGTGTGTGTGTGTGTGTGTGTGTGTGTGTGTGTGTGTGTGTGTGTGTGTGTGTGTGTGTGTGTGTGTGTGCGTGCGCGCGCGTTTTCTCACATGCCCAGTCCACTGGATCGATTCAGACCAAAATTGGCAAGGACACCCTGTGGCACCCGAGATGTGCTCTCAGCAAATCAAAATTTGGGTACCTCTCCCAGTAAATAAAGTAAGTAAAGAAGATATGTAATGGTGGGGGACGATGAGGTTGGAGCCGTTTGAAGGCATTATCGAGGCTATGTAGATTTGGGCTACGTAGATGAAGATGCAGATGTGAAAAAAAATATGAAGCAAGACTGATAGCAGTGTTGTAAAATCGGGTGAAGCCGATATTTCTGCTAGAAGCCATACAGGTTGTGAAACATCCTACATAGCTATATGAATAAATGTGTAGATAAAGTCATGAGATTATAAAATAAAGGTACATAGGGAAGAAGACCTTAGGAATGGTACTTGGATAGCATGCAACAAGATCAGTGTATTAGTAAAAGATATTCAGAGACATTCTGGATAAACAGCATGTTGATAAATATTTGAGTTGCATTTCACTATGATGATGAAGATAGCATAATCTATGCATGTGTAGGTCACAGTGCCTTCCGAAGATAAGTAGAGGTTGAAATTGCTCCAAATGCATCATTTAGCTATAACTATTTTTATAATGATAATAACAATAATGATAATTTTAGAAATAATGACAATAATAATTAGTATTGCAGTAATTATCAAAATTATCATTATAATTATCTTTTTCTCATTATTATCATTATTATTGTCATTATCATCATGATTATCATCATTATAAAGGAATTATCATGAAAATCATCATAATTACGTGAATTAATGTTAAAATCATCATAATTATCATTTAAAAGCGAAAAGGGGGATTCTCGACGTTTCTCTCAAAAGGCTGTAATACGCTAGATTTTGCCGTTTTTTCGACTTTTAGAATTTTACTACTTTTCTCCTTTATTTCATTATAAATGGACTCTATGATTATTATTATCATCATTATTAACTATTTTATAATGATAATAGCAATAATGATAATTTTAGAAATAATGACAATAATAATGTTTATAATGACAATGATAATGATATTATTATTTCTATTG